CATTAACACATTACATGTATGGCAGAATTGCACAGTTAACTTTCTGTAGGAGAAACATGTTAAGTATAATTTAGGTTAAGAATGTATGTATAATTTATGTAAATGTAATTATATTAATTAAAAGGTAAAAGTGAAACAAATCTTTATTGAAGGGGGTGTTACTGCCTAATACATAAATACATGATACAATTATTTTTTAAAAAATACTGGGGATTTTTGCTTGGGACAATATCTGATATGAAATGTTTAATGACATTTCACGGCAAGGAAAGCAAAGTTATTGTAGAAATCATACAAGGTGTCCTCTTCTTCCTTTATTTGGGTTAGTCTCCATTACAAAATCAGACAGTTCCTGTGGTTTTTGTAACAATTCATTTAACTTCCTGTGCATTAAAGTCTCTTCATCACCTTCATATTGCTTCTTTCACCATCAGCTGATGTCATAAGCTAATCCAATTTTTCATTTCAGATTAATACTCAACTAATTCTTTAATTTCTTCTTCTTCTGTATCTGAAAATCTTTCACTACGTATTGCTTTTGTACAATTTTCTTGGTTTCATTTTCAATTAATGCAAATCCTCTAAAATTGTTACAACTTCTGGCCACCATTAATGTCAACCAGCATTTGTTGTTGATGAATTCACTTCTTCCCATGAGAATTTAATGGTTTCTGTGCAATGTGTTTTGTTAAATTGCTTCCAAAATGCCATTAGTGTGTCATGCTTTCCTTTGTATAGTGCTTCATGTGAAGAGTTGTAAATATGCCTGATATAATAGGCTTGGAATGTTTTTATGGTTCCTTGACCCATTGGTTGTATCAAGGAAGTGGTCTTTCAGTTCAAGGAATACTTCTACATTTGGATGCAATGTTGTGCGGTCTTCAGTACTGTGTCCTAGAGCTTTATCAAGAATTTGGAGAAGCTCAGGTGTTGCTGCTCTAAGTAATGCTTGTTGCCTTTAATGAATGAATTTTTAGAATAATCAGAAAAGAGGACTATCATAAAGTGGATGAGACTTTGCAGTGTATCGTGTGTAATTGAAATTTTTACTTTTGGACAAATTAAGTGGAGTAATTAAGGTAACTTGTTTACACAAAATCACATTCCGCGAGGGTTTACTACTATATAAAGGTAAAGATCCCTGTAATTCTGGATTTGGATTTTTCCAGATGGTAGGATATAGATCAAATAAGTGGCATGTGAAATTATAAAATAAGAAAAATAAAATAATGAAGCTTTTATGACCTTAAGAAATCAACATTTGCAAAAAAAAGGGGGGCTCAATATTTACTTTTTCCTTTTTTTTCACTTTGTTTTCAATGTAACTTGTTTAATTTGCTTCGTTTTTTCTTGCTTACACTTTCTCTTTAATTCTATAGACAGACATAATTTTTTGTTCAGTTATAAAGTTCCATCATTCAAATCTTGTAATTTGTGCATTGAACATTCCAACTAAATTGTCAATTAAAGTGTTTTGGTTCTTAACAAGAACTGTCACTTTCTTCACTATTGGTAGACATATTTTCTATATTTAAAACCATACTATAGATTTTGCTGTCTGTTAGTCGATTGATGATTGGAGCATCGTCATCACTATAAAAAACTTCCATTATATCATCTTCATTTATTACCTCTTTCCGACATTTCTTTAAAAATTACATTAATTGGAAATTTTCATTTTTTTTGGCAACATCTGAACACTTTCAAATTCTCGATTATCACTTAGCTACCATCCATTATACATTATTGGTGATGCGTAAGGAGTGTCTAAAGACATATTGTTCCACTAAATTTTGTCTTCCTTCTATCACACACTCATGAAGTTAAGCTTGAATTATATGATATACGAGGGCCATCCAGGAAGTAGATTACGTTTCCGTCTGTGTCCGCTAGGGGCGGGGCTAGCGTGGCCATCTTGGGGTCAGAGCGTTGCGCAGCTCAGTCTGCATCTAGCCGTGCTAGTGAGAGGTTCGTGCTGTGCTCCGTTCAGATACTGTGACGGTTTGAAATGTCTGCGTTAATTGAAAATCCCGCGAGCTGCGAGGTGCGCTCAGTAATAAGGTTTCTGACTGCAAAAAACTGTAAACCGATAGAAATCTATCGGCAGCTTCGTGAAGTGTATGGGGACAACATTATCACTGAAGGTGGAGTGCGTCAGTGGGTCATAAGATTTCAAAATGGCGGAACCAATGTTCACGACGAAGATTGAAGTGGGAGACCAGCATAGTGACCGCCGCCGAACTTCTCGAAAAAAGTCGATGCTAAAGTCCGTGAAAATCGAAATTTCACAATAACGGAACTTTCTTTGAGTTTTTCACAAATTTCGCGAAGTTTGTTGCACGAAATCATCAGCGAAAAGCTTGGTTGGTTACCACAAGTTTTGTGCAAGATGGAAGGCAAAGAAGAGGTAACGAAGTGGTTGAAGGCGCAGGCGGCCGAATTTTTCGACGAAGGAATTTCCAAGCTCGTACATCGCTACGATAAATGCCTTAATTTGTATGGTGACTATGTAGAAAAGTAGTATTTGAGTGTGGCTTTCATCTGTATATAATAAAATTTGTTTCCTATACTTTGTTTATTTTTTTATTCCAAAACGTAATCTACTTTCTGGATAGCCCTCGTAGTTACACTTTGTTGCCAAAAATCTTGTAGGGAAGATAGAATTGAGCTATAACTATGAAACTCGGCAGTAGTATCGTGTTTGAGTAGATAAACAAGCATTCGAAAGCTGGGTCAAAAAAGCATTTTATTTACAAGTAGCAATACAAAGAATGTGAAAATCAGTAGGTGGTAAGGCTGCTCCAGGCAGTTCTACAAACCAATAGTTGGTTGTACATGGAGTCTTTGCCCTCCCAACATGTTCCATAGGTGACAGGTTTGTAGACCTGCTGGCCAGTCGAGGATATTAACATGCTGAAGACATTGGTGGGAACGTTGTGCTGTATGTTTGTCCTGCTGGAAAACAGAACCTCGACAACCTGCTAACATAAGAGGTACAATTGCCTACAAAATGTCAAGGCATCTGCCAGCAGTCAGAGTACCTTGCAGCATGGCCGCAAGGTACTCTGACTGGTGATGGTGAACAGCTGTTCCAGCTGATTGCTCCTCAGACTGTCACACCCTGTGTTCTGGTAACAAATGGTGCCACTCAGTAACAAATGGTGCATTAGACTGCTCTATCTCTAGACACATATGCGGTATTCATCAACATTGAGAGAAAAATGAGATTCATCGCTGAAGATCACATTTCTCCAATTAGATACTGTCCAGCATGAGCTAGAGCAGCACTATGCATCACGACACTGCTTCTGGGGAGTGTCAATGACAGTGACCATAATAAAATGTCCCAGCATCATCTAGTCTTCTGTGAATTGTATCCCTGGATATCCACTGTTCCCTGAGAGTTGGCAAATGGCATTGAATCAGTGATAGCATAACTGTTAGTATGGACATGGCAGCTTTTATAAATGCAAGATCATCTTCCTGATTAGTGGTGGTCAGGAAACATCCTGTGCCACTACGGTGGCTGACTATACCTTCGCTGAGCCACTGATTCCAACAATGAACAATGACCATATCACTTCCACCAGTATGCTGGCCGACTTGCCTCTTTGACCGACTGCCGTCTTTTAACCCTGTGATGGCAAAGTCTGACAACTGTTCATAATGTGTTGAGTACATTTTAAAGGCATATTTTGTTACATTCTGTATCCAAGCTGTTAGCACAGTTGTAAATTCCTGTCATTCGCCACATGTAACCCTTTTACTTTCTACCAGCCGCACACTTCAGACATACATTGTATAGCTCCACAATGCTGATTGGTGCTGGAAGTTTAATCATTCGCACAACTTGCCAAATCACATTTGCATGCCACATTTTGTTGTTGTTGCTCAATTTTTCTGGTTGCATATATATATATATTTTTTTGCGACAGAGTGTATTATACTTATGCCTATTTTCTGAACATGTGAAAGGCTTATCTGGGTCCTGAATAAATAAAATTGCCATACATGCTTATAGCTTTATCCAGTGCCGGACAGTGTCTACAGGTTCGAAATTCTGCTGGCAAGTAAGTGTTTCCCTAAGTTCTAAACACTTTTCTTCCCAGTGCCTTCCCTAAATTCTAAAGATTTTGCTATCCCTCAAATGTTGCTTCTTTAAATTCTAAAAATTTTGCCTTTCCTAGATTCTACCTCTCGGGCACTGGTCCAGAGCTTATCTGAAAAATGAATCAGTTATTTGAAACAGCACCAAATATAATCTTGTGGTCTATGAATATCATTTACAGAATCTATTTTTTGCACATAGAAAGCAATTTTTGTTAAATTTCTCGTCAGCACAATGCTTTGCAGCAGAGTTAGCTGAAGTCTGTAAGCATCACCAAATGTAATGTCAACATAAAAGGTTATCATTCTGGTAATCTTTTATGTTGATTTTGTATTCAGTTACTAATATTAAAAACAAATTGTTTAGACATTACTGCACGAGTCATTTCTCAGGCTGCAATGTGTTGATAGTTATTCCACCATGAAATTAAAAAAAAAAAAAAAAAGAGAAAAAATAATAATAATAATAATAATAAGCTAATGATACACCAGGTTGGATTAGTGCCAAAGTGAAGTTGAGAAATGGAACTCTCCACATGTTTTATTATGAAAAGTATCAAATTTGCAAGCGTAAAGCATTTAAAAAATGTTGGTGATCTAGAGGTCCCAATTTTAGATCATTCCAGATATCAGAATTTTGGATTTCGGATTTAGTATTATATATATAAGTAAATGTACTGCTCAGAATTTTTCTTTTGTATTACGTAGCATATGATTTGATGTGGTAACTGTCAATATTACACAAACATTTTGAGCCAGTTGTTTTGACTTTAATATTTTCACAGCTAATAAATATTGTGTGTTTCTGCTCAGTAAATGGATTAATTTATGTATACTTCTAAATTTAATCTGATAATATTTAATAATTTTATATATTTTTGTTTATTTTTTAGTTGGCCTGCTGCTGTGGAAGTGCTGCTTGTAGCTTATGTTGTTCTGCTTGTCCTTCATGCAAAAATTCAACATCAACTCGCATAATGTATGCTTTAATGCTGTTACTAACTACTGTAGTTTCCTGTATTATGCTCTCACCACAACTGAAAGATAAACTGGATAATGTAAGAATTGAATGTTCTTGATAAATATTTTTTTAAGTATTAATATTGTAATCCTTTTATATTGTATTTTTGTTTTTCTGTATTGTTGTAGTACTTTACATTGTTTTCTTTTATTTATTTATTGTTTTTAGAATGGTCATTTTGTGTTTAAATTAATTTTTGACCAAGTAGCTGTATTTAAGTGTTTATTTGTTGTATAGAATTGCAGATCTTTTAATTCTGAGTGCAACGTGTTTAAAATTGTAAAAATAGTTCAATTAGAATTCAAGAGATAAACAAACCGTTTTGTTCCTTAGGGGCCTTCGTGAAAAATTTTTTCGCCAACATGTTGTCTTTTTAGAAAATTCACGAAAACACATTTTTGAAGCCCAGTGACCAATTTTTCCAGGAATTTCCAGAACCCATGTTGTTGGGAATAAAATATGGGTTAGAGAGTTAGAGAAAGCATCGACAGTGGGTAGCTGAAATACAAGTTAGGATTTACTTTGAGAGAGTGATTTGAGGATTTTTGTAATTTATTTCATGTGCTAAGGAGGAATTGCTAAATATCTATGTTCTTCTTGAGTTATTTCCAGGTATTGTGCTGTATGTACTGTTTATTTTCCATAATAAATTATTAATTTCTTCATGCTTATCTGGACATATTATTTAAAGAAACATCAGCAATCCCATAGCTTGCAACAGTATTATATCCTTTATTTATTTAAAAAAAAAAAAAAAAAACTTTTACTTTAATCAGCAAACATTCATTCATAATAAAAGTATTGTTTAGAAAGACGTGTTATTATCAGTTATTAGAAAAAATAATAATGGTTGAATTAGGTTTTTTAAATACATTTTGTTATATACTTTGTTATCCTGTGATAGAAGCAAAATTTCTAAAAGCCTGATTTTTGGAAATATTTTTCCTTCGCAAACTTTGCATTTTCTTCCTCATTTAAGACTTCTACATTATTTTTCTACTATTGTAAATCCTAACAATCCAATATATAATTAATTGGAAAGCTCCAGCATCTAAAATATCTCAAAATTTTTTAAACTCACCCCTCTTGGAAAATATAAGCAAGTGAAAGACTTGTAAATCATCAAAGACATCATCCATCAAAAAACCATGAAAGACATCATAAAACATATATAGGACTGTGAACAAACCAAAACTGTCAGAAAACAGTGTGATTTAATGTCTTTAATGGATAAGCATGACACCACAATACAGATATCATAAACTTTATAAGAAATAAATTAAATCAAATGGGTTTTCTTCAAAAAACATTCTAGTCAGAGAGAGGATTGATATTAAAATAATTCTTTGTAAAATATAAACACAGAATACCTTGCAGTGAGTCCAGGCATACAGAAAGTAATACTAGTAAAACTAATAAAAATGATGAAAAGCACTGCAGTGGATATTGTCTGACTGAAAATTATTTATTTATTTTATTATCTTTTAATTTTAATCTTGTCTACGGTTGTTTTTCTGAAATTTTTTTATTTGGAGTATGTGTATGTCTTAGGTTGCATTGTCATTTAATCTATAGCAAGAGCTGGACTTTTTTTAACATAATCAAAGAGTTAGGATATTATATAATTGCATTATAATTTTCTTACTTTTAGGCTATGAAAGGTGAACTGAGCAATATTTATCCAAGTTATAGTTAAAATACACTTCTTACCAGTTGAATGGTGACATGAAGGAACATTCATAGAATTATGCAAATAGAGAATTTTTAGAAACAACCTTAATGGGCGACTGATCAGTTTCAAAACTGTAGGTTATATGGATGTTGATGAATAAGATACAAAGGAGAAGAAATTTCTTTGGTAGTTTATCACTTTTGAGTATTGGAAAGGGGGGGAACAAGCTACTTGATATCAGTTTGTCCGTGTGTGTGATAGCAAGTCATTTGGGGCTAAAATACATGGGCACAAGAAAGTGCTGTTCATCATGATCATAGTTTAGGTATCATCAATGAGGAGGCGTGAGTTGCTAATGGCAGTCGCTGGAGAAATCTGTCCACAAAACTCATCAGACATCATTTACATGACAGAAGACTATACATACTGTAACTGCATGACAACAGGCCTTTGCACTTAAACAGGTGCAGATAATGAGTGAGAGCCTTTTGCTCTTAAACAGGTGCAGATATTGAGTCTGAGTGAGAAAAATTTTATTTTCTGATGAGGCTTGCTGCTTTTGGCAAAATCATAAAGGCAGTGGCACAATAAATCAGCTAATAGTGATAAACACTGGGCATCTTATGTTGGAGTAGGGATTCATGTTCAACAGGTATGCCAAATACACATTTTGGGTAGTCTGATAGTATAGCAGTGCATTCATTTGATAGTTTTCAAGAAGCAGCAGGGACCAAGTTCCAACAGGATAATGCATGACAACATATGGCTGATTGTACTGTAAATAGGCTACAAGAGACTGATATTTTGCTATGGATTCCTACCAATCCAGATTAATCTCTGATAGGACATACATTAGACCTTGTTGAGTGGGATTTACAGTCTGTGCCTCTTTGAGAACTAATCTGAATATATTTTATTCTGCAATGCTGCTTGACACAATATAACCCCAAACAACAGTTTTTGATTTTGTTAATAATATACATTCCAGAATACATGTCTGTATAGCTGCTTATGATTTTGGCATTCATTATTAAATAAATTCTTCCCCCCCCCAAGCACTAAACAGTCATTTTGTGAACATTTATGTGTTTCAGTCATTTCTAATGACCTCATGATGTTCATAATTCTGTTGACTGGTGTAATTCAACTGTTTAAGGTTATATATTATTAAAATACAGCTTGTATGATACTATTGGCTAACATGACTTAAAATGTTTATGGGCTTTAGTTTTACTTCATATAAATATGTTTTGACAAAATTATATGGAAAATATCTATAAAATGATATTTATTGTTTTGAGTGTATGATAAATTAATTTCAAAGAAAATTGAAAATATATATTTAATTTTATAGATTATATTTTAGTGCTTCAACTACAACATTTAAGCAAATTCTTATATAGTTTCCACAGCAGCTTATTTTTAAGCGCATTCCTCTCAAATAGATTTGATATAAGCACTCTAAAAATTATTACAATATATCAGAAAGCTTTTAACTGTTGAAGATTGAGAGGCTTAATATATATATATATAAAGCTTACTTTCAAGTTACTGTTTATTCCAAATTTGGGTCAGCTTTTGATTTGTTTGAAGTAAAATTTCTTCTAATAATCTTTTGGAAACAAAAATTCTTAAGCATTCATTATATGGGGCTGAAGTACTCACATTCTCTTAGCAGAACAAATGATCCCTGGAAGATGAAATATAATGTGTTTCCTTGTTTTCATGTCAGATAACATTTTAAACCATTTAAAACTGTTCTTTTTTATGATAATTTTTAGAAATGTTAAACTTCTTTGAAAGTGTTGTATTGAAATTATCACATATACAAAAACAGTATGCCATTTTACTTTCAATGGCATATGTGTTTTCATTGTGAAATATACTCTTCAATCGTATTTAATAAACACATTTTTATATTTTTAATTATCTTTCTATTCACATGTTGTAGCTGCCTTTGATACTATAAACTATGGTGGACTCAATTTAGCAATGAGAGTAGGATGCCCTGTGTTGAGTAGCCAGAAAAACTTTCAGTAAAGGCCAGGTGATCAACCTGTTAGGTTGTATCATACCCTGTGCTCTGTAAAACCTTATAAAATTATATGTCCATTGTCCTTGTAATAAATTATTGTTATATGATAAAGGACTCATTTATGAGCCCATCCCCTAACAGTAAGTTAACACTTTACTGTTAAGAGAAGTTGAAGGACAATAACTGTCTCCTCATCAAAGATCATGATTGAACAAATTATTGTGTCAATATTCAACTGTCTTCTAACTAGGGGAAGAACCGACACCTTTCATAGAATACCGAATTAAAACTGGTAACCATCCTCCAGTGACTGTGTTACAATACAGGATGAATCTTGCCAAGAAAGAAATCAAAGCAAGAAATTTACAAGCTTTTGTCCGAAGGAATAATTTAACTGTGCAAATTGCCCTATACATCCCCAGTTGTTTCAGTACTGAAACCTAATTGAAAAGTACACCTCTGTATACATTACAGGAAATTGAATGCAATCAATTTTCAAAATTCCTACCCACTTCTGCAAATGGATCACCTGTTAAATGAGGCAAAACTATTCTTTTGATGTCAAGCCTTGATCTTTGTGAAGGTTATCACCAAGTGAGGGTTCATACTAATGATCAAGACAAAATGATTTTGTGTGTCCCTTTGGAACATATTGTTTCTTACAAATACCCTTTGACCTTCAGATTGGAGATTGACTTCTGTAATGGCCTTGAGGCATTCTAACTGCCACCTATCTCGACAACATAATTGTTTTGTTAGAATCAATCTAGAAACACCTTTCCGATCTCCAAGCTATTTTTGAAAGACTTTTGCTCTGCAAACTTCATGCAAACAGAGAGAAGTGCCACCGTTCTTCTTCTAGTGTCAAATATTTGAGATTTTGGATCACATAAAAAGGAATTGAAGTTGCTGTAGAAAAAGTTCCTCTATCCAGAGAATTCCACCTCCTGAAAAATGTCAAGGCACTCTAATTTTTCCTCCAAACATGTTCTTGGTTTAGAAGATAAATACAAAACTTCACAGAAATATCACAACCCCTTAATGATTTAACAAAGAATGAAAGTCCAATGGGAATGTGGTTTCAACCAGCAAAAAGTTTTTAAAACTCTAAAAAACTGCCTCGTAACGCCTCCCATTTTGAAGCAGGTAAATGGAACTCAACTATATTCTTCAATCTGATGCAAACAATTATGCCCTTAGAGTCATTTTATTTCAAGGGAAAGTGTCAAAAGAACAGCCTATCGAATATGCCAGCCAATTGCTTTTTTGGGCTGAGCAAAACTATTTAGCGACCAAAAGGGAAGTCCTTGCTGTCATGTGAGCCCTAAAGAAGCTCTGTGGGTACATCAAATTATCAGAAGTAACTGACATCTGATCATCAACCTTTGAAATATAGCTTCTAAACCTCAAGTCTCAACTAGATGACTTACTAAATGGGCACTTGAAATTTTGTCTTTTAACTTGAAAGTACAATACATGCCTTGAAAGGCAAACGTCATCGCCGACATACTGTTCTGCCAAATTTCTGATCACGAAGTTTCACCTTGTGAGATTTTGAATATATCTGTAGTTGAGGTGCCCACAAGAAATCCAAAAGACATGCATAAATCCCAACTTTAAGATGAAAATTTTAAAAAAAATTGTGAAAAGTTTCAAATCCATTCAGAAAACTGAACAATGTGTCAACTGGACTGGCCTTGGATTCGTTATGAATCAAGGTGTTCTCTTCTGATATGTTCCTGACTGATTCAGAAGAGACTTAGTCATTCCAGCTGCTGAACGTAAATCCATCATGTGAAAGCTCCATGATGATGCGATGGCTGGACGTTATGGAGAGGAAGGAACATTCCAAAGAATAACCAGACACTACTCTTGGAATGGTATGAAAATGTGTATATCCAACTACGTTAAAAATTGTCCTGAATGCAACCACTACAAGGCTACCAACCAAAAGCCAGCTAGATTGCTAAGAACCCTGTGTGTTTGATCTTTACAATATGGTAACTGGTAGTTTGGCGACATTTTAAAGGCGATAAAGGTTACTACCTGGGACTTTGGTAATAATGTGAGCAGTACTCAGTTCCGATTACGCGTTATTTTGTGTGAGGGAAATGAGAGATCATGGGATATGTCATGTGATATTAATGGACGAATTATGGTTCTTTAATCGGAAAAGGGGGAAATCGGGAAAAAAATCTGGAAATTTGTATTTTTTGGCTTTTATTCTGTGTTGTGTGAAACAGTGTTCGTGAATTTTTGGATCCCATGGCCGTAACTAAAGTGAATTCGAAATGGGTATTTATGTATGTATGTATTTAATTTAATGGATGTGCTCATTTATATTTTAAGTAGTGTTTTTGAATTTAATTTATTTTAATTAATGATAGTTTTTTGTGAATTTTATGTTTGTAGGAATTTGGTATACGTTTTTGGTTGAAGTAAACGTGCATGGAAATAATTTAAATATCTGACACTAAGTATTTGTAATGGTTGCGGTATGAATTCGTTGGTGACGTGTATAATGTAATAGATGATTTAGAGGTAAAAGTTTTTGGATATTTTATTTATTTTATATGTGGAAATGTTCATATTTGGAAAGGGTAAATACTTTTTTCGCGATCAGGTAATTCATATATGTTCTTTTTACCCGGTTTAAAGATTGAGAAAATTGTCATGTATTTTCGTGAAATTTTTCTAATTTATGAGAAAAAAAGCAGTGTACATGGATATAGTGAAGAGTGTGCGCAAGTGCCATTTTTGTGCAATTCTGGGATTTTTTTTAAGTAAAAATAAGTCGACGTGTACATGGTTTAGTGATATTTTAATTAAATGATAGTTATTTTTTGTGAATTTTATGTTTGTAGGAATTTGGTACATGTTTAAGTTGAAGTAAATGTGCATGGAAATAATTTAAAATATTTGATACTAAGTATTTGTAATGCTTGCGGTATGAATTCGTTGGTGACGTTGTATAATGTAATAGATGATTTAGAGGTAAAAGTTTTTGAATATTTTATTTATTTTATATGTGGAAATGTTCATATTTGGAAAGGGTAAATACTTTTTCGCGATCAGGTAATTTCATATATGTTCTTTTTACCACTTTTTACCCGAATTTAAAGATTGAGAAATTGTCATGTATTTTCTTGAAATTTTTCTAATTTATGAGAAAAAAGCAGTGTACATGGATATAGTGAAGAGTGTGCGCAATGCCATTTTTGTGCAATTCTGGGATTTTTTTTAAGTAAAAATAAGTTGGCGTGTACATGGTTTATGTGTATGTGTTATTTTGAAAAACACGTAAGGAGTATGGTATTGTGCACTTTTCCCCAATTTTGCAGTGAATATTTGTCATGATTAAGCAGTTTTGTTAGATAAAATTTCTAGCATAAGTGTAATTCGGCTAGTAGATTGTTGGAAGAAGTGTTCAGTAGATAAAAAGAAAAGAAACATGTCTTTACTTCGTGAAGACAAAATGGTGGCGGGGAAAAAAAATAGAGGGTTGCTGTAGGAGAGTTGGTCGCCAAATTTTCGCCAAAAAAACGCCAAGGTACCATAATGTAAAGATCAACCCCCTCTGTCTATTCTTTTGTTTTTGTTGATGTTTTGAGATCATCTCTATAGACATGCTTGGACCATTGCCACCAACTGACACTGGAAACCAATGTGTCTTCATTTCTTAAGACTGTGATAAGTGATGGGTTGAATTATTTCCTCTTGCTGAAGCTACAGCTTGCGACTGCACCATAACCTTCATTAAAGTATTCATGTGGCATGATGTACCTCAAATCATCAGTGATAACAAAACCCAATTTATTAGTACTTTCTTGCAACAAGTTTGCTGTACATTAAATTTCAATCAAAACTTGATAACAGTTTACTTTCATCAGTCTTTAGTTCCCTAATCAAATGAAGTGAAACAGAAAACAGAGATTTAAAACATTATCTTGCAATCCTTGTAGGAGATTCTCATGGCTTTCGAAACTCCTAGTTATGTGTTTTGCTTTGAATATGTCTGTCTGTGTCACTACAGGCTGTACACCTGCATTCCTAATGTTTGGAAAAGAGCTGAGGACTGTAAGTGACATCGTACATGATTTTGAGGCTGTGGTCAAAAATGATAACTTTGTTCTGGAAATCATCCTTTATCTTAAACGATTCGCAACTATTACAAAGCACACACAAGAATGTATCGAAATGAAGCAAAATCAACATAAAAAGCAATATGACAAAGTAAGATGACAAGTGTTTTATTCTCATGATGATAAAGTTTGGGACACTTTGCATCCCTTTAGTAATGCAAAAAACAAAAAGACCTCAAATTTTATACCAATGCGTGACAGTCCATACTTGGTAATGACATAGAAGTTAGCTACCTCCTATGTCATTTCAAGCATTCATAAGCCATCAGAACCATTAGAGACATATCATATATCGACACTAACACACTTCAAAGACATGAGCACTTCTCCCATTGTTCTTCTCAGAAAGAGAGGTTGATAGCTAAAGGTTACTTCCTTTTCCTGAACTAATCAAGAACTTGATGTTCTGGAGAGCACTACAAAGAGAAAATCAAAAGGCCTCAGTTTAGAGACAATATTACAAGAGCTCCCAAGTCTTTCAGCTGTGTCAATATGTCAGCATAGCTGGAAGGGCAGTTTGTAACTGGCCTGATGTTATAAACTATGATGGATTCACTCTAGCAATGAGATTATGAGATTAGAGTGGTACCCTCAGGTGTGTAGCAAAAAAAAAAAAAAAAAAAAAAAAAAAAAAAAAACTTAACGAGAGATCAGGTAATGGACCTGTTAGGTTGTATCAGACTCCTTGCTCTGTAAATTCTTAAAATTATATGTTATGTCCATTGTAACGTCATCCTTGTAATAGATTATTGTTATATGATAAAGGACTCATTTATGACTCCATCTAACATGACCCCACAGTAACATTAAATATAAATAAAAGCTGCCATCTTCATCATCACTAAAGTTGTATTTTTCAGTAGCAAGATCACACAGTCAAAAAATTTGTTCCGAAGAATATATAAGGATTTAAAATGCCAAAAGGCTTGGAGTAAAAATAATTATGTAAGCTGGAAATGGAATATTAATTCACTCTAAGGTAGAGATAAGTGATTTGCTGAAGAATGCTTACCCCAAGGAAGGTGAATTTATGCGTTACTTTTAAGGAAGTAATTGGTAGGAATGTATGAAGAAGCTTCTCTCACCATTGCTTTACACTGAAACAGATGTGCAGGATGAAAAGGAAAATGGGGGTGTGGTTTGACATCTGTACTTCTCAGTTATAGGTTGAGTGAAGCATATCCTACAGTTTTAATACCATGGGCTGTATCTGCATTAAATGTTTTTAAGTTAATTTTGTGGCATTTTAACTAGAAAAGTTGCTTGCTTAAGAAAGTTTTAAAAAAGGTGGAGTCAATAATTGTTTTATGTTAATAAGTAAAACATTGCTCTTTGTTTGACATCAAAATCATGTATTTACTGAAATCTAATTTCTGAGAAATTATTATTATTATTATTATTATTGATTTTATATGCTTTAGGAGAATATTAGTATTTGATATGGCATAGTGTTTGTTTTACATTACATGAGCTGTAACTGTTGTAATTGATTATAGGAATATGCCTTATTGATTTTCAGTTATTTTAAATGTATTAATGTTTTGTTCCAGCTACCTTTTTGCACTGATAAATGTCAAGAAGCTGTTGGGTACCTAGCAGTGTACAGGCTTATATTTGCTTTGACTTTATTTTTCTTGATGTTCTCTGTGCTGATGATTGGAGTTAAATCATCAAGGGATCCTCGTGCTGGTATACAGAATGGGTAAAAATAATTTCTGATTTTAAATACTGAAGGATTTAACAAAAATCTTAGTTTTTTTTTATCCTTGTGTTACAAAATATTTCATAAATGCTATTTTTTAAAGTACAGGTAGCCCTCGTACAACATGGCATCCTGTAACGCGGTTTTGCTATAATACGATTCACAAATTGCAAGAACCCTCCTGCAACACAGTTCCTCTCTAACATAATAAGAAAATTGCCTAAGCAATCCAAAGAAATTTAGTGAATTGCACACGAAGATTTTCCATATTGAGCATTTCATCAAGCACAATTTCACAACAGAAACAATACTCAGTCTCAAGAAAGCACAATCACCAGATAACAATGAAGAAACCTCACTATCGCAGAAGGTGAACAACATGAGGTCACAATAAGTGCTTTGAAATGCACATTTGTCTTCCAAAATTCGAATCCTCATCTCCGCAGCCTGAAAAAAAAGTATCTCATGCTGCTAGTCAGCAGTCTGCATCTAACCACGGTGTGTTAAAGAATAACTTTTTCTTCTTTAAGACATTAAGTTTCAATCCTAAAACATGTCTGATAAAGATAAAAAAAAATGTTTAAGAGGAAATTCATTTCTTTGGAAGTAAAGATAGAAGTTTTGGACCGTCATTTAAAAGGAGAAAAGGCATCTCACATTAAAAAAAGTTTTAATTTGAATGAAGCAAAAGTCCGGACTTTTAAGAACAATGAAAAGGAAATAAGAAATGCAGTTGCTGCAGGATCTTCGGCATTCGCAAAATGTGTAGTCGCCCCCCCCTCCGAGTGCCAGTAATTGCGAAGATGGAAAAGGCACTCAGCATTTGATTGTAGCTGCCAAAACTGGATTAATGACAGCTGGCAAAAAAGAATTCCATTAGCTGTTAATATCATTAAACAAAAAGCACTCAAAATTTTTATGCACCTTAAAGAACACAGAGAATCCTCAGTCAACCCAGATTTTCTGGCAAGTAAAGGTTGGTTTGAAAATTTCAAAAAGCATCTTGCAACTCATAGCATAAGAATTCAAGAAGAATATGAATCAGCTGATTATGAAGCTAAAGCTTGGCTTTTAAATTGTTTTGTGCCAGATGCTAAACATTGAGCTTCAAGGCTCTATTGCTGTTTAGATAATGCTCCATATCATCCACAAGATTTGAATCATCCCAACGTCAAAATACTGTTCCTACCACCTAACACTACTTCGTTTAAAATATATTACATAAAAGGAGCATTACAGTGGATTCAAAATTCAATTAAGGTAATGGAAGTCATTTTCTAGGAACCTATCTACCACGTTATGCGAGGTTTGTCTATATTCATAATTGCTATTTTTTATAAAGTCTTTGTAAGTTCATTATTCCTTAGCTTGTGGAAAACAATCTAAGTAAAAACTATATGGCATCCCCCCCCCACATTTAATACTTTCAGAACTTTTTTACTGTCCTTCCATTTGCATAGTGTTTCAAATATAATAGTTTCAATATATAGTTTTTTTTTTTTTTTTTTTTATGTGAAAGATTTCTTTAGTTGTTGTTACCTTCTTTACATATATGTAAGTAATTAAATAGTGTCTTTGTTAAAATATTTATGACTAAAAAAAATGACCAATTTTTGATATTTTATTTAAAGTTTTGATGTTTGAAAAAAGAATATGTTTATGAAGAATATTTTATGTAGTTTTTCGCATGCAATTTATCTATAGCCTGTGTATTATTATATACATTATTTAGAGATATTTGTTTTCATCTGATAAATCTTATAAAGCGATTTTTTTTTTTTCCCCCTACGTGATACAAATACATTTCTGCCTCGCCAGTAACCGAGTGGTTAAGATCGCTGCATGAGAATTCAACTTGTTTTTGATTCAAGTGGAGAGGCAGGCTACATAGTTGGTTTTTGTGAATAGGAGCCAATTTTTCCTTTAGAAAGTCTTCCATAAAGAATACTTTTCCTTAAACAGATAGCTTTCCTTAAACAGATAGCATGTGCTTTATTAGAGCTTTTGAAATCATCTTGCAGTATCAACTTTTGCCAATATAATTATTCTGTATATATTTAAAAAAGGTAGGAAGCAGGTAATAATTATTTTATTAGACTGTGTGTTGAAATAATGATTTTAATTTTTGTTTTACAGATTTTGGGGAATAAAATATCTTATATTGATAGGCGGTATGATTGGTGCATTTTTCATTCCAGACAAAGCTGTGTTTGGTGAAGGTAAATTTTGATTTCTTTCTTGTGTATTTCATTGCATTCATGTCCCTTTACATGCAGATTCAGTATCTATAAGTTTGAGTTATCCATGGTTTAAAATGGGTAAAAATATATGTTGAAAGTTAAGTAAATAAATGGTTCATACGTTGGAAATTTGCTCCAAGCAAGAATGGGGTGCAACATGGTAAAACAGAAATCCGTAAATTCTCAGTAGTCTTCTACATAGGCATATGCTAGGGTTTCTGTTTATATTTCTGGCCTAATAGTGAAAAACAAATGTTTATGATCTAAATCGGTTTTATCATTTTTCAAAATATTCTCCATAAGATCAATACACTTTTGTATGCATTTGAAACCAATTCTCAAAGCACTTTTTCCACTCTGATTGAGATGTCTCCAAAACATGCGTTTTGAATGCATCAACCACTTTTTCAGGTGTCACAAATCTGCTGACCATGTAATTTATTTTTTATATGCTGGAATAAACAAAAAATAGGTGCCGAATCAGGGCTGCACACCGGATGACCCATCGTTTTTTGGCCTTTCAAAAATTCATTTGTTAGAGCTAATGTGCGACAGCACGCATTGTCATGACGAAGAATGATTTGCCTTTTCTGCTTTTTTTTTTTTTAACTTATCCAATGACTTCTGGCAAACAAATGGTCGTGTACCATTCAGAATTGTCAGCCCTGGTGTTGCTGTAACGTCACTGTCTCCACGTGACCAGTAATGCGAAAGAAACAGCCAACGATTTGCTTCAATCTGCTTCTTCCACAAACAGCTTTTGTTGGATTTGGCTCATCTTTTAAGATCCATACAGTCTTGATTGATGTTTCGTTCAGCTCATATTCATAGATCCATGATTCGTCACCTGTGTAGATGTTATACACAGCCTTTGATGCACCTTGAACATATTTTTCTGACATTTCCTTGCACCAATTGATATGAGTCTTCTTTTGAGCGTTTGTCAGATTATGCGGGATCAAATGCAAGCAAATCCTTTTTATAGCCAAATGTTAATGTAATATCTTATTGATACTTGTCATACTAATGCCTAAAGTTGCCTCAATCTCACGGTATGTTACATGACGATCTTGCTTTATCAGTTCACACACAGCATTGATATTTTCTTGCAAAACAACCGATTTTGGATGACCTCAACAGAATTCATCCTGGAGAAAATGTCAACCATGATTAGTTTGTCATATCAGTTTATTACAGTGCTATAGGAGGGTGCTTTATCACTGTATAAAGAATTTAATTCATCGAAGCACTCTTGTCCTGATAATCCACGTCGAAAGTTATGAAAAATAATCGCATGGAAAAGTTCACGAGTCAATTCCATTTTTTACCTGAGACAACAATACAAATCAGGCTAAAATGGCAAAAGGTTCTGAAGAAATTATGGTAAAAAATATCAAAATTTCGATTGGAATCATCTGGGGTCACCTAGCAACACTTACTATTGCCAAGGCCAGAAATATAAATAGCAACGTTCTTATGATTGGAATCAATATTATATGCTTATGTAGTAATAGAAAAACATAGTATTTATTATTCTGCATTGCTTTGGAATTATATGTCATGTTTTGCAATACAGTAAACATTATTTCTTTATTGCTGTTCTTCTGTTGAGTATTAGGTGAAAATAGAATAATTTACTTCCACTATTATTGATTAAGAGAGAAACAGAAACAATCTGCCAATATGTAGCATGGAATGAAGTGAACTTTATATTTAATAATAATTATTGTCAGTTTTAATGTTTTGCTGTGTATATTGAAACTTTATTATATTTGTGCATGGCTTGTCAATATAATATCAGAAATAGACTTCATGGTTGTCTTCATAATTGAGCCACAGTAAATTTCTGAATGGATTATCCACAGATACATGGGTATTAACCTTTTAACTGTCATGCCCGAAATAACCTCAGGTGTAGCACTGGTATTCCAAAATGTCAAGCCCAAACTTACTGGGCTATTTTTTTGGTGCATCGATTTTATACCGAATATATCGTGAATTTTCGGTTCAAAAGAGTTTATAATTTAAGATACAAACCTTTTTTTTAATAATAAAAAAAAAAAAAAAAAAAAAAAAAAATTTTTTTTAATTGTAGGGTTTATATTTATTTTAACTAACATTTATTTTAAGTTTAAACTATCTTTCCTGTCAAGCCTTACTTTCCCCTGGAACTGCCAATGCCAGAATATGTAAATTTGAGTAGAACGCGCAAGGATTCAAATTATCAGCGGAAGTATTATGATTTAAATAGAAGGAAACGAGTTCGGTGTGTGATATTCTTACTTCAGCGAGCGCGGAGGTAGTTAGCGAGAATTGAAGAACCCCGCGTTGCGGCCTATGTGCTTGGCGGGAAGTAGTGGTAATCGTTCCAGTGAGCTTCAAGTCTGCTGAATTAGCAGCGGTATTGTAAAACGCGGTGAGTTAGTTATTTTAGAGAGCCTCGTAGTTAGAATCTTGTCTTTAGTTTCTTTTCAGGTTATTATTTTTATTTGACTGCCGAGTTGGCACAGTCTGTAAGCGTCAAGAGGACGCAATTGTAATTTATTACGTTGAATAAAAAGGGACTTAAACCCTTACAAGACTCTGTGTTTTATACAAGTTTTCACAGTCACCTCTTGGTTGCGTGCAAGTTGGAGGCGCGCAACGTTATATTGGCGCCCGAACACTTATCGAACTGAAATGGCCGAAAACTGGATGGAAGCCGCTGGACAACACCAAGAAATGACAACGCAGTTAGAAGGATTTGGATACCTGGTCCAGACTTTGAGAGCATCAATCAAGCCAAACGTCTATTTCGACGGAAAAAATTCGGTGGCGGTATTTCTCGAAGGTCTAGAAAACCACTTTCAGCTCTACCCTGTGCCTGAAAGACAAAAAGTTGCCATCGCCACATCAGCACTAAGAGGACAGGCCGCGCTATGGTGGAAAAATATAGGCAAATTTTTATTAGGGGAATTTGGAAGCCCAGACGTATACATTTGAAAATTTCAAAAAATCGTTAGTAAAGGCCTTCCCCATAGTGAAAGATCGCGCACGGCTGGAAGCCGAACTATATAGTTTCTATCAACGGGATACAGCAGAATTGACGGACTTTATTTTACGAAAAATCAAGCTAACGGATATGCTGTATGGAAAAAACCCCGATGCGGGGATTATCGAAATAATATTACCAAGATTGTTACCCGCTGTTCAAGACTACTTTGAAATTAGAAACCCAAGCACATTGCAGGAACTTTTCGAATTGGCGGTGAAGTTTCAAAATCGCAGAATAGCGGAAAAAGCGAGAGGGGAAACATATTCTCAAAGTACCACCCGAAGGAAGGAGGAAACCAGAAATGGAAATCGCTCTTATGGGGGAAAGAACTATCAAGCTAACGCATCGAAACTCGAAGGTCAAGGCCCAAAAAGAAAATTTGAAAATAAACATCCGCGTACCCAGAAGACACAGATTGAAAGGAAAGCTTTAAACGACTAGAGGGGCCTGTGAAAGGGAGGGTCCAGACCCCGGAAGTTTTAAAAAAAACCCTCAAATAGACATTTAAATACGGTCATCGTAAAAAACTCACAGCTACCAATTATACAAGTCCTGGTTGGCGATGTACCAGTAGAAGCCCTCATCGATACAGGAGCAGAAGGAAATTTTTATGAGTGAAAATTTCTTCAAAAAGAATTTTTATAGGATACGACTATTTTAAAACCAGAAATACGGAAATTATAGCGGCGCAAGGAAAAACATGTCACTGCATCGGGAAATTATCATTAAACTTACAGGTAAAAGAGGAAAATCTCAAAGTATTAATTTTTGTGGTGAAAAGACCTGCAACACTCTCTTATTTTAGGTATGGACTTTTTAAGGGCCGCGAGGGCCAAATTAAATTTTCAAGATAGTTCCGTGGTGTTGGAGATGGACCAGAGGGTGGTGGAACCTGTGGGAGACACCTGAATTGGACCTTAGCCATCTGAATGACCATGAAAGTAAAGCAATACAGCAAGTGGTGAGTAATTTTTCTCATTTGTTTTCAGAAAAACCAGGAAACTGTCAAATCGTGACTCACAAGATTCAATTAAATGCCGAAAAACCTTGTAGGACTAAACCGTATCGCTATGATAAACAAAAAGACGTAATCATCGAAGAACATATTCAGGAGATGTTAAAGAATAAAATAATAACGCCCATAAATAGTGAGTACGCGAGTCCAGTCGTACTATGTAGGAAAAAGAACGAGTTTCCTCCTTCGGATAAAAGGGCTTGGAGGTTTGCTATCGATTACAGAAAACTAAATAGTATTACTAAATTTCCAGTTTACCCTTTGCCGGTTATAGACGAGATCATTAGACAGATCAAATCGACAAGATATATGTCTACTTTGGACTTAACGTCTGGCTACTATCAAATAGCTATGAGACCCGAAGATATACATAAAACCGCGTTTATAACAAAATCGGGCACTTATGCATTTTTACGCATGCCCTTTGGGTTGTGTGGGGCCCCATCAACATTCCAGAGAGCTATGGACATTGTTCTAAAGCCTGTCCTAGGAAAATCAACTTTAATTTATCTAGATGATATAATTATAACGAGTAGTACGTTGGAACAACACATTAATGACCTCGAACAAGTTTTTAAATTATTAAAAGAGGCCGGTCTTACAATTAACGCCTCAAAATGCAAGTTCGCAACTAAAGAACTTAAATATCTCGGTTATAAAATTTCGCAAAAGGGTATAGAAACGCAAGATTCAAAAATAAAAGCTATTAAGAATTTTCCACCGCCCAACACCGCCAAGAAACTTTCGTCTTTTTTTGGATTATGTTCTTACTATCGATCTTTCATAAAAGATTTCGCTAATATTGTTGAACCACTCTTAGTAATCAAAAGAAAAAAGGCTAAATTTACGTGGACAGCGGAAGCTAACACAGCTTTTGAAAGATTAAAAGAAGCGCTTATTAATGCCCCTGTTTTAAAATTCCCTGAGGGG